TTTGTTATCAGACCTGCTTCCTTAACTGAGATGGATGTGTTTCCTTAACAGTCTAGACAAAAACAAAACAAAACAAATACAACTACCAGACCAATAGTCCACTAAGGAGACTGTTTTATGCTTTTGTATCTTATTTCTATCAAAAAGAAAGCTTACATATAAAATGCAATATATATTATGTATGTACATATTTATACACAAACATACACCCATATATATTCATTTTTTTCTAGTACTTTACATTCTGTAAAAAATATCTTTAATTTCACATTACCAAACACTAAATAAGTTGTGATTTTGAGCAAGTCTCCTGCCTACTCTGGGCCTCAGTTTAGGGAATGAGAAAGTTGGACTGGGGACGCGCTGAGGACCTTTCAGCATTAGGACAATTTTTTTGATGATAATAAAGCAGGGTCTATTCATGGGAAATAGCAGAAAGATAGCTGACTCTGCTATTCTAAAAATATTCTTAAAATACCACATAATAATTCCTTTATCTGACATTTCTAAAGTGAGCTTTCTAAATTACAAGCTTTTACAAATAAAATGAATTAACCAAATAAAATATTATGTGTCTATTAATTTACTTTTTAAAATAAACTTTCAATAGCATAGACTTACATAAAATCTGCAAAAATAATTCAAAGAGTTCCTATCTGCCTCACCCAGTTTCCCTCTAGTTAACGTCTTACATTACCGTGTCACATGTGTCACAACTACAGAACCAACATGGCATATTGTACACTAACCAAACTCTAGACCTTACTTGAATTCCACCAGTTTTTCCACTATGTCCTTTTCGTGCTCCAGGACACCATCTGGGAAGGATACCACATCATGACATTTAGCCATCATGTCTCCTTAATTTCTTCTGGTCTATGAGTGTTTCTCAGTTTTTGCTTGTTTTTCATGACCTTGATGGTTTGGGGATGTACTAGAAGGGTACCCTGCAAAGTGTCCCTCAATCAGAGTTTGGCTGATGTTTTCCTCACAGTAGACTGGGGTGTGGGTTTGCAGAGGAAGAGCACAGAGATGAAGTGCCATTCTCATCACACCGTAGTGGGGGTGTGTACTATCAACATGACATCACTGTAATGTTAACTTTGACCTCAATGTACTTTTGTGGAGCATTTTCATATTCATTACCTTAATGTGATTCTTTTAAGGATCACAGAGTCTATGAGGCTGGCATCCTCAACTCCTTTTTACAAAAGAAGCCCCTGATTCTGGAGCTAGAACTAAGGCATTATGGCTGCCACTCCATGAAGCTCTTCATACCACCCTCACCACCTCCTCTAAACCATACTGAAAAGGAGAATTTATAAGAAGCAACATCTTACAATGCTTTCCAGTATAAATTTATCTTAGTGCCCCTATAGTTAAGAATTTCCATAATTAAATAATACTTAGCTATAAGCATAGGCTTGTTTGAACACATTCAAAATGGATCAAAATATCCAATCAACCAATCAACAACAAATAACAAACTACATGAACCAAACATCATGACCTAAATTTCAGATGAACTTTCTTTTTTCAAACTGTTTTTTTTTGTGTTTGATTATCATACTTAATTTTCTTAAAGATTCAGGCCTTCTTACCAGAACCCAAAATCATTCAAAAGAAGGTTGTTTCCTCATCTGTAAAGAGGCTTGTGATTACAGAAAGATATGACATTTTGGGGGTATAACAGTGTTACTCACTTTTCATCAGATAGGGAGGGCCCTGATAACTGTCCCACTGCAGACAATTGGTATTATTATACCAATAATAATAATAGCTAACATATTTAGCTCTTACTATGAGGCAGGCTCTGTGCTAAGCAGTAATTTTACTTCATCCTCAAAATCTATGGGCTAAGTCCTACTAGTAGCCCCATTCTGCAAATGAGGAAATTGAGGCTGAAAGAGGCAAAGAAACCCACCCAAGTTTATGCAGATACTACACTTGAAGCATTTAGTTTGCTAGGGCTGCCATAACAAAATACCACAGACTGGGTAAACCACAGAAATTTCCTTTCTCACTGTCCTAGATCACAGAAAGTCCACAACCAAGATGTTGGCAGGTGTGGCTTCATCTAAGCCTCTCTCTTGGACTGAAGGTGGCTGCCTCCTTGCTGGATCCTCACATGGGCTCCTCTGTGCGCCTGAATTTCTTCTTTTGATAAGGACACCAGTCATATTGGATTAGGATCCACCCTCATGGCTGTATTTTAATTTAATCATCTCTTTAACGACCTTAACTTGAAATTCAGTTACATTCTGAGGAAGTAGGGAGTTAGGATTTAACTTGCAGATTTGGGGGGAACAAAATTTAGCCCCTAAAAGGAGCTATGATTCAAGCTAAGCTATATGACTCCGGAGCCAAAATCTTAATTATTCAGCTATTGTGGGAGATGAGTCTCACATCATTCAGAGTAGTAAAACCACCAGAATTTTTAGACATATTTATCATCACAGCCAATCATGCAGTGTCTCCACTGATCTGTGATCTTCATGTAATAGAATGAGGCATTGAGCTCCCACCAATGACATTTGCTAGCTTTATTATTTACTCTGTCATTTACAAGCAACTGGCCTTAGAAGAGGACTCAGCTATGGTGCCAGCTGGGGAATAACACATGTCTGTTTAGGAGTGTTGTTTATTCAACCTTCACTCATACCTTCATTTACTTATTCAACAAATATTTACTGAGTGCCTGCCATATTCCAGGCATTTTTCTAAGCACTTTTAAAATATCAAACAATTTAATCCTTACAATAGACTTGAAAGTACTATCATTATTCTTATTGTATAGATAAGAAATCAAGACTCGAAGAGATTAATTTGCCAACAATCACATCACTTAAAAGGTGGAGCTAAGGCATGAAGAAGGCAGCTTTAAATCCTTCATCTACACTTCAGATTTCTCTTCCTTGCTAGCTATTAAAGTGTCTGAAGATTGAAAATTACCACTGATAACTTTGTTTTTTTAAGAGAAAAATGATTTTTCTGTTACTGCTAACTTGAAAAGCTCTTTCTCCTCCACTCTTATGCATGATGTGAAATACTTACCATTCCTACTTAATCTGCATGTTTTAGAACAATAAAGAAATCTGTGTTTTCTGATTCAAATTTGTGAACTAGTAGCTAAGACTTCATCTTTGAAATAATAAATTTTTTTTAAAACCAAAAAGGATGCAATAAAAACAGTGCTAAAAAACATGATGGTGGTGGACCAGGAATTTTGAGGAATTTCAGGAAAACAGAATACAGACTGATTGGGTCCACAGAGAAACCAGAGCACAAGAAAATAGCCTCAGGTAACAGAGGTTAGCACAGTTTTGACAGACGTTTGGAATATCATGTTTCTCTGCTCTGCTCCTCTTACTATGTGTCTCAGATCATCAAATGGCTCCCCTGGGCTGACTTTCTTGATCCAGGCAATAATTGTCAACATTTACCAAGCACTTAATTCCTGCTCTATATGGATGAACTCACTTGATTTCCCATAATGGCCTGGTGAGTGGTTAGGCTTAGAATCCCCCATTTGCAGAGGACAAAACTGAAGTACAAAGGTTATAACACTACTAAGTGGCTGAGCCAGGGGTCCAAGGTAGCCAGTTGGCCCTGTGCAAGGGCTCTGATGTCCCCACTATGCTGCTTTCCACTGAACTGGTCTCCTGGGCTTTCCTATGTCACTAGATAGTGTACAGTCGCTAGTCATTGTGCCATCAGCCTATATTGAGAGCACTATAATTAGCAAACCCAGAAAATCAGTTAGGTTTCCTGTAAGATATGGGTGAATGCAGACCCACAGGGAAAAAAAAAATTCTTCCCACAGGAACAAAAATAACTGAACTTCTAAAGCAGTTGGATATTTTTTTCCACCTAATGTGGACAAGCATGTAATTCAGAGTTTCAACCTAATTTTAAGAAAGGTATGGGATGATTGCAAGGTGAATGAACCTAACCAAGAAAGATATTCCCTTTGTGTTTTTCTTTCAATTTTACTAATGTGGTCAAGAGAGCATTCCTGCTTGTGAGTAATATGAATACATTTCTTTATCTTCTGATAAAGAGGGAGGCTGAGGCACAGGACCTTGGAAGGCAATCATTAATATTTAGTGAGATTTCAACTACTTAGTTTTATTTTATTATGGTTGTAATTACCTTCCATCTATAACCTGCTATACTAATTTCCCATTTATTAGTGATACCAAGTTTCCTTTTAAAATTATCGTTTAAAAAATTGAGTTCATTTAGAGAAAAATGTTAAGTAAATAGTAGTGCAGGTGGTAGGAGAGCAAAAGAGTAAACAAAAATCAGGAAGGTGTTTTAGGAAAGCCTAAAGCCAGTTTCCCCTTTGCCTTGGAAAGGCCAAGAGCTTAATTCATTGGTCACTGATCTCAAGGGTGCAGTCCGGGCTCCATGAATTTCTCCTTCTCATCTAACTCCTGGCTTTATCTTCTATCTCCTCCCTTTCTTACCTCATTGCCTTCTTGTCTTGCTACACTATATCCTTTCAGAAAAAAAAAAAAAAATAGTGGGGGTGGGAGATAAGAGCGAGTAATGACATAATAAAGAACATTTCTGCTCTAATAACACAGTGTTCAAAGGGTAGAAGTGACCGGAACTCCCCATCCCCTAATGAGGGACGGAGCTCTCAGAAAGCCCAGTGCAACTGATTTCCTCTAGTCCTAGGAAGTTCAAATTTTTCAAACTGAGCAGGAACCTCTTTTCTAAAATTGCTTGAACAGCGAATTCTTTGGCGCTCCTCTGTCCCCGGCGTGGCCACCACGAGCGCCTGTTCCCGTAAGCGGTGTGAGTTATTAAAACACTTCGGTGGAGAATAATGCAAGGAGGAACTGCCACAGAGGCGTCCCCTCTCCCTTTCTGGATATGCAGCACCTTGACCTTCAGTCCACCTCACTCCTCTTTCCAATTCCGCGGAGTGGGGAAGTTTTGGGGGACCCCATGGAGGCCTGGGGGTGGGGTGGGGGTAGAGGGCAGGGGCGACTGGCTCCCGGGATTGGGAGGCGGATGAGGAGCGCGGGAGAATAGCGCCCCAGAGCCCGGGCGGCGCAGCCCCAGTCCCTGGAAAGCCCAGCCGTCTGGAAAAGCTGGGTTTGGATTCTCCCCTCTGTGAAGAGTTCTCAGGAAGTTTGGGGGAGGGGCGAGCCGCTCTCTCCAGGTCTGCGGGCTCGGGCGTGCGAGGAGGGACAACGGCAGCTGCGGGTCTCCCAGCTGTCACGTTCCCGCTCTCGGGCGCGCTCCGGAGCTCCCGGCCGGGTCCTGGGGCCAGGGCGCGGGGCCGCGGCAAAGCGCGCAGGCCGGCATGGGGGGGCTGGTCCTGCTGAACGCCCTGGCCACCCGGCTGCTGTTCGTGCTGCACTCGCTGGTTGGGGTCTGGCGAGTGACCGAGGTGAAGAACGAGCCCTGGTACTGGCTGCTCGCGCTGCTCAACCTTTTGCTGGTTCTGGAGACTGCGCTCACCCTCAAGTTCAAGCGCGGCAGAGGCTACAAATGGTGAGCGCACCCGGGGAAAGGGAGGGCGCCCGGAGCCCCGGGTACCGTCCCCTGTGGCATTCTCTGGCAGCCCCGAGCCCATCTCTCTGCAGCACGCCGATTCTTTGCTCGGATTCGGACCCCCTTTGTCCTGGTAGGGAGCTTCCAAAAAGCGCCAGATGGTTCAGTGTATCTTGGGCACGCCAGAATACCCCAGGGAAGTATTCAGAATATCCAACATTGGGAAGGCTCGCAGCCACGAGTTACCTAGTCCCAGGTTTGGCAACTTGGAAGATGAGAAAAAATAGGAAGCACTTGTTTGCTCTGCATACAGTGCTCCAAAGTTGGGGAGTCGTAGGGCAAAGGAGATGTCTATGTGCCCTGCTTTCTGAATTTGGGGCGTGTGGATGTGCATGGGTATTGTCCGTGCATGCAGGTGTGAGAATGCTCTTAGCTAGGCATCAGCGACTTTTGCAAGAGCTCCTGTAAATCATCAGGCAGCCTCCCAGGGTGAGAACCCCTTCAGCACGTCTCTAGTTTCAGCTGCTTAAGCTTCCTTCCAGCCCTTGGGGCCTTGGTATGGCACCAGCTTCAGGTGCCTGGAATTGGTTGCTCTGGAGCTTGTTTAATTATTGGTCAGTCCATCTTCTCAAAGATGGATGGCCACGCTGGTGGAAGGACCAGAAGGTAGTGGTTCAGACTTAATCTGAAGGTACAAGAATTACAAGCTCTGCGTGATACTTAATTTCCTACCCAAAGACTTGGATGCCAATAGGAGAATTGAGCAAAAGATTCTCTTGCCATTACAAAGATTCCCCATTCCTCCACTCCTGGTAAATTTTCATCCCAAACTTCAACAAGTTAGGCCTCTTCCTGTATTAATTTCTTTTTAAGTAAGATTGGATTTTCATATATGTCAATACTTCTAAAAATACCTAATGCTATGAGAAAGAAGAAAATAGTATTAGCCAATTTAAGAATTAAGAACACTATGGCATTATAGTTAGCCACCATATTAAGGAAAAGAAATCCAACCAGCTCTACAGTGTACATGTTAAACTACAAAAAACATTGTGCATTCCGTGACAGTCCAAGGGAGAGAATGTATTGTCTCTTACGAGGATGTGAATATTGCTTAAATGTTCCATTTGAAAAATTTCTGGAATTATCAATGAAAAAGTTCTACTTGAACCCAGTAAGAATGGGAATGTTACTGCCCCTCTCCCGCCCCTTATTTCCCCCATGAACAGCTTACTAAGCAAGAGATATATGAGGTACTTTCCAGTGTGCTTTTTGGAAACCTGGAAGAAATATGATATTGGCTTTCCCAATAAACCTTAGGGTTAAAGAAACAAAAGGGGATAAAAGTGTTCACCCAGCAGGTCTTATGAGACTGATTTGGTTTTTACTTGAGTAGCTAGCTTTAATGCTAGGGTAGAAAATATCTTCAGTAACAGGAGGACAAAGTCTGAGGTTGAAAAATGTTTGATGGAAAGTTGTCTTGCCAACAACTGTAAGAGCTTCTGGGAGACATGTCAACTTCAGAAGAGCGACTATCTCAGCAGGTCCTCCCTCTCCAAGAGTAGACCAGAGGCTTTTAGCTCATATTAAGTAAAAAATTGTAGCCAGTGATATTTCACCTTCACCTCTATATCATCACTAACATGTATCAGACTAACATGTAACTTACAACCAAGAAAGGGAAGAAAAGTTACTGAAGGCAAAATGGGTGGTGGTCAATGCATAAGGTAAACTATGGAACAGGGGACGTACAGAGTTACAGAGCGTAGCCTCAAAATTGGACACATAATGGAGTAAAATCTGAGCTTTCCTGCTTCCTTACTGTGAGGCATTGACAAATACTTAACTCTTGAGCCTCAGTTTCCTCATCTATAAATTCTTATGTCATAGGTTGCTGTGAATTAAATGAAATAATATATGTTGATGGTCAGTAAAATAAAAAAGGAATGGTCTTTTCTAGATCCTATGATTTTCCTTTTTACTATTACAAAATATCCTTTGTCACTGGACACATTTTCTGTCTCAAGTCAAACAACTTTACTTGAGGGCCTGGCCAATAAACCTTTAGTTCAGAGTCACAAAGTAGAAAAAAAATTCTCACCTTTATTTCAGAACAACCCATGATGGGTGTTGTATGTTATAGCATTAATTCAAAAACTTATTGCCTGCTCAGTATCTAGACTAATAATTGAAAATAAGCAAAGAAAAAAGTCAATAGATTTTGCTTATAAAATTACAGGAACAAACGAGTCTTTGTAAATGATCTAAATAGAAATGTGATTAGTAATGCTTTGTTCTACTGAGTTACCAAATACATCTGTCTGCAAAAAATGGTCATTTTTGTGGTGGACAAAGCTCACGTGCTACTCTGTCACAGTCTGAGAAGAAGAGAAGATGGAATGCTAAAAAAAGCTTAGAAAATTATCCTTGATATAACATGGTAACAATTAAAAAGGGTTTCATTTGGGACATACTTCATTTTTGAGTTGAAGATTACTGAGTAAGGTGGGCATAATTTCTTGATTTTATGTGTTAAAAAAATGTTTCCATCAGAAAAACCAAGGCTGACAGAATTTTAAAAAGATAAATATTATGTTAGTATCTATACCTCCATAGTTAATATAAAGATCTATATGTAGATCTGTATAAATATATATATATATATATATATCTTTTGATCCATTGGTCTTACCACTGGATCTAATGGAATCCATTGGAATTTACCCTATATAACCAAAAGTACTCATATGTCAAGACATGTACAAAATATTAATTTCCATCTTGCTAGTGTAAAATAAATCTGAAAGCAACTTGATTATCCATCAATAGACTGGTTAAAAAATTACAATATACCCTTACTATAGAATATTTTGCTGGTATTAAAAATAATGAGCTAAATTTTAGCTATTGACTTAAAGGGATATCCATGATATGTTGTCAGGGAAATAAAGTTACAAATTTATGTATTTTGTGATCTCATTTTTTAAGAAAAGGACTTATCAAAGAATTATCCTTGGATCAACAGAATGTGTTAATTCTGTACAAGTCAAGAAGAAGGAAAAACCCTCCTTTACTGAAAATCAATCAAGCAATAAACACCTGAATGGCAGACTAAGTTCTGTGCACATATGAAGTGAAAATTTCTGTAACATCAGATCCATTTACTTCTTTTAGGCTACTCTGGGCTTGTTTAAACATTGTTCTTTTTACTAAAATTTGCACCTGGCCCCAAATAAATCATATCTACAGAAACCATGGAGCAATAAACAGAGCTACAGAGGAAAATGTGAACAGAATTTCTTGAAACATAGCAAATATATTACACTTATCTAAAGAATGTGTCTTTAGCTATTTTTTAGAAAGGAAAAATGGAACTAGAGTTGCTGAGCTCAGCTATCTGGGGACAGGCAACAGTACATCAGCACTTTAATAACTTGCCAGTTGGAAAAGTTTAATGTGTCGGAATCCTATAGGATGGGGAGGGTGAGCCAACAACATCCAGAGTAGGTCCAGTGTGTGCTAGTGGCTTTGTTCCTTTTCACCTAGTATTAATTTCACCTGCATATTCACTTACATGCTTCATTCAACAAAAATATTTGGAACATCTAATATGTGTTAGACATGGTTTGAGTGCCAACAATACGGCAGTGAATGAAACAGGTCAAATCCTGACCTAAGAACTCTCATTTTAGTTAGGGGACTGAGAAAATAAAGATGTAAATATTATACAGGGAAACTAATAAGTGACAACAAGCAAGTAAACAAGTGAGTGATCGGAACTATGAAGGCCTAAGTGGTGTGAGTTACAGAGGAATGGAGTGACATTCTCCAAGGGGAGGCCTTGCTGAGGAGGTGACATTTGGGCGGGGTCTGTGAGAGAAGAGAAGGAGCCGAGCATAGGAAGAGCCAGGGAAACAAAAAAAAGTTAGAGAGGGAAGAACTAAATAAGCCATGGGATATTTCTGACATGATCCCAAAAGTCAGATAAATACTGATTTTCTTTTCTACTTTTTCCTTGTCTCTTCTTCTCCCCATGGTCCTTGTCTCCATGTGAAAAATTCCTTATAAATTTTACATCTTTACCATATTTCATTTGAAGCATCGTGTATTAGAAAAATTCTGGGTGGCTCCCAGCTGCAAACAGGAAAGACAAATTGGGAATCTCAAGAGATTCTCTCCTACATTGATTTCAAATTGAAACCAATTTTGTAAAAACCTGAATGAAATCTGTTTTGAATCTTAGTTGTATTTAGAAGGTTCAAAGTTGGAAATGACGAACCTAGACTTGACAGATATGAAGTCTGATCTTGAACAAGTTTTGAGTAGTGTAGGAGAACTTCTTTTTCAATTCAAGTATAGTTGACATAAAATATTGTATTAGTTTCAGGTGTATTAGCATATTGATTCAATAATTATACACACTGAGAAATGCTTACCATGGTAAGTGTAGTTGCCATCTGTCACCATATAAACTTATTACAATATTACTGGCTATATTCCCTATGCTGTGCTTTTCATCCCCATGAGTAACTTATTTTATAACTTAAAGTCTGTACTTCTTTATACCCTTCACCTTTCTTCATCCGTCCCCTTACCCTCCTCCCTATGGCAACCACCAGTCTGTTCTCTGCATTTATGAGTCTATTTTTGTTTTGTTTGTTCTTTGTTTTATTTGTTTAGATGCCCTATATAAGTGAAATCATATGGTATTTGTCTTTCTCTGACTCATTTCACTGGACATAATTCCCTCTATGTCCATCCATTCTGTAGCAAATGGCAAGTTCATTCTTTTTTATGGCTGAGTAGTATTTCATTGTATATATGTAGCACTCTTCTTTATCCATTGGTCCATTGATGGATGCAGGTTACCTCCATATCTTGGCTATTGTAAATGATGCCTCATTAAACATTATAGAGCATTTGTCTTCTGAATTAGTGCTTTTGTTTTCTTTAGATAAATAACTAGAAGTGGAATTACTGGGTCATATGTTATTTCTATT